CTCACAGATGCCTGGGCAGGGGCTTGGGACGCGGGGTGCACACCCTAGCAGGGACCCCCCGGCCGGGGAGAAAGGGGGCAAATGGACCGCCGCTAAATGCTTAGGTAGAATTGTCTGCTCCCCAGAAGGACGTTCTGGGGCTCTGAAATAGTATTGTTATTCTGGGTGGCGGCGGCGGCGATGGCTGAGTGCGCTGCGTTTGCATTGGGGGGGGGACGGTATTTTTTGCTTCAGGTGGAGCTCTGTAGCGTCTTAGAACCTCCCCAGAAATCCTCTCTCACAGGGTTTAGGATGGGAAGGAAAAAAGGCACGTATGTGGATCTTTCGAAATGCCAAGAGCGCTGTATAAATGTGGGTGTACCTGTTTCTGCTTAAAGTTTTCAACGTCAAATAATGCAGACGAAGAAAACAAGGAGGTTCTGAATCGGGTGGGTGGGGCGTCACATCACAATATTGTTCCTTTAACTAAACAATGTGATGTAGAATTTTTTAATGGTATTGATTACGACTGTCAAAAGTCATGGTTAAATTGTATCCGTAATTTAAAAACTGCATTTTGGTTTATCTGATGTTTAGCAGTCAAAAATTGAGAAGCCTATTTGATTGTGCTTGATCTTTCCCAGGAATCACCCAAAGCAGGGAAAAGTGGGAAAAGTTCAAAAGAAGGACAAGACATAATAGAATCAGAGGTAACTCTTACTAAATATTCACTTTCCATTTTTTCATGAACACCTTTTAATTTTGGGGGGGAGGGAGGTGCTGGGGGAGGTAATTAGGTTTATTTTTAGAGGGGGTACTACTGGGGATTGAACCCAGGACTTTGTGCACGCTAAGCATGCGCTCTCCTACTTGAGCTACACCCTCCCCTTCATGAATCCCTTTTAATGGAAGGTGAGAAAACCTGCGGTCTTCTAAAATGTTTCTCTCTATGAGATTTTTTTCCCCTAGTGTCTTGTGTAACTCTCCATTTTACTTCTTTAGGTGTTCATTATTCATCTTTGGGGCAATATGAATGTTTTCGCAAGAGTTGTGCCTGTCTGGGCAGCTGGTATTTTTAGAGTACATCATCCCTCTCCCCAGCCCCACCCCCATCCCGCCCCTTAAATCTAGCAGCCCTCCTGTGAAGACTGGTTTCACAGGCTCTCTCTAACTGGAGTGAGTTGTTCAAGTTCCTTTTCGCTTTCCCACCTCCCCCTTCTTTTGCAGGCTGCCAGGTCCGTCTGCATCGCCCTCCTCCGATCACCCTTGCTTTCCTGGGCGCAGCCTTTGCTGCTGGTACCCTGCGCTGGCTCCTTTTCTCTGTTGATGTCTGATCACCTAAGACTCTTCCCCCATAGTGTTGGTAGATTTTGGTTTATCTAGTTTTGGTATTTTTATGCAATCTTCTAGCCTCTTTCACCTTTTTCCCCCTCTGTGTGCATTGGCCAGTTCTGACTTCTTTTGCTTCTTGATTTGGGTTCACCAAGGAACAGCTGGAATGCTCCATGAGGGTTGTGTCTACCTGGAGGCATTGTGTTTTGAGAGCATTTGTAGAGCCAGGACTAGACTCTGCCTTTTGTCCCTTGTGCCTAGTTCTTGACCTGGAGCATCTCGGGCTAAGGGTCCAGGAGCTGCATGGACCTAGGCAGAGCTAATAGGCCCTTTATCAAATTGATGGTGGCAGAGAAACTGCTGGATTCGGTGTTGTAGTTCTCCATAGCTGGATCATTGAGGTCCCTGGTCTTATCACAGATGACAGTAATTTGCAAGTGTCAGACCTTTTCCTGTAAGCCAAATTAGAATAGAGTTCATTCAGTTTCATCTGGGAAATAAGTTTAAAGGCCATTATCTGCAGTAGCCTGATTATTTTTTTAGCCCCAGGTTATCTTTTCCTTATCATTTGGTACATTCTAAGCCTCCCTCCTCTTCAGCAGGTGGTTTATTCCAGCAAATCTGTTGCCCTCCCCAAAGCAAAAAGCAGAAATCCGAAAGGTTCCTTAAATATGAATACTTTTGTGCCAGCCTTGCCCTGCCCTTTCTTTGTAGCAGACAATCAAGATTTACTGTGGCATCTTGCAGTTGATTTGCTTACTTCTGTGTCACTCTTTTGACTAAATTGATTTAAATGAAATTTAGTCACTGTGCAAATGTGTACCTTTTCTTTTTTTTTTTTTTTTTGGTTTATTGATCTTTCCTTAAAACTGCTAAGACTTCCCAGTGTGCCCCCAGCCTCTCACCGTTAGTGTCACACACACAACAAAATTAAGGTGTATGGTTCGTTTATTCCTGTTTTAGGGGCAAGAACCTGGCTGTAAGGATGGGTAATGTTACGTTTGAACTGAAAAAAATCTGTCAGCTCTAAAGATACCACAGCCACTAATGAGAAAATGTGTGTTTCAGGTGGATTGGGGTCTTAGACTGTCAGTTGCTTAAGACTCTTGAGGGGTGGCCTGCAGCGTCTGAGTGTGACGCCCCGCTTGTCTTTCTGTGTTTATTCTAGTGTTACTATCTAGAAGCTGGAGCTACGGAGCTTGAAATTACCACTGACATGTTGAGCCCCTTACCCCTTCCTTCTAAGGGTCCCAGGGGCAACATGGCATATTAAGCATGGCACTTGGCAGGTCTCTGTGTGAATCATTTTGCAGGAGCACAGATCAAGACACTCCATCCCTCTGAACTTTGAGTTCATCCTTGCTTCTCCATTGTTGTCTCTCTCCCCTTGGTCTTCCTCTCCCTTCTTCACTTCTAGTCCCACTCACTCACCGAACACGCTTGAGTCAGGCAAGTGAACTAAACCACTAGGCCCACTCTCCTCCTCACCTGTCTGCCGACATCACTCCAAACTTGAATGTGTTCACCTGAACCTTTCAAGTAGGTCTGCAGTTCACCTGCTGCTTTTCAGACCTTTCTGATGTCACGTCACCATCCCAGACAGCATCGGCTTAGGTGACACTGGGGAGGCACCTGTGTGAAGACAGCACATCTGGGGCCTGAGAGAGGGGCTGAGCAGGTGCTTGTCCAGGGCCGAGCAGCCAGGTTTGGGGAGTATTCCCAGCAGAGAAAACCTTAAAGAACCTGGCCTGCCCTTGACTTCATACACCACTTCACATGTGGGGAAGTCCTTGTACAAAAGTCCTGCTCGGCAATAATCTGGCCTCATGGAAGACAACAGAGCAGGTGGCCCATGTTGCAGACCACTTTGTGGCTAGAACAAGGGAACGTTTGATGGCATGGGTTTTTAGCAAGAGGATGAAGCCCTGCAGTAGCGGATAGAGTGATTAGGGGGAAAGTGCTCCAGCCAGGCGGGTGGCTAATAAAATGCTGACCCCTGATTGCCCTGCACGATGGCCCCTAACTTCTGTGGCCCTGTTCCCGCATCTCTGCAATGACCCAGGGAGTTTCGAATTTGGCCATTTTTGACTATATGGAATAGATTAGGCGCGATCCCCCTTGGAAGGAGCTTTCCTTGCAAGGTGGATGGCAGGGTGTACCCTTCCACATAGCAGAATATTACCAGAGTCAAACTGCTGTCATGCAGCTTTCGTCTTTTAGCAGAAATTTCTGCTTCTTGAACAATGTGCATTAATACATCTTTCTTTTCTTCTCTTCTCTTTCAAATGGAATGTTTAAATTTGACTTGCTTATCCACAAGTGTCCTGGGAATCCGGGTTTCCACCCAGTACTTCTGCTGATTTATTTCATAGCACATTTTAAGGAGTGAGGCTGCCGATGGGCTCATGGTAACTGGAAGTGAGAGAACTGTGGAGGTGGTCACATCTCTGAGCAGCTGTTCTCCGTGCGACGTGCAACTCTGTAGAAACATAGCTGGGCTCATTGGGTGAACATTTAGAACCTTAGTACATCGCTCAGTGATTCCTGAAGTCCGTTTTGGAGGGTCGGACATGCCGTCGTGTTTTTTGTTATTGTTGTTTTAATTTGTGTACTGTGTCCACAGTTATGTTTTTAAAAGTGCTAATGCTTTGTCTAAAGCAGTTTTTTGTTTTAAGCACATTAAAGGCTGTTGGAGTGTTGTTCTCCAGTTGTGTGTCTTACTTCTCCTGCTTCAGTGTAGTTTTGTTTGAAAGTCCCTACAGCAACTCTTACGTAACATCTGTTGCTGAAAGGAAAGCTGATCAACCTCTCTCCAACTCGGCTGATTTTGACACCATCCACCTTTAGTAATAACTTTTCTTTCTCTTGATAATCTGTCCCTTTACTTTCCCCTGCCCCTTCCCCCGGGGTTCCGGAGACGGAGAGCCAGGCTTGCTGTGGTCCCAGAGGTGTAGGTGGTGGAGTCGTGTTTTAGAAAGTAAAACTGAAATTTTGGAAATATTTATTAATTCATCTAATAATAACAATAACACCCCTCACATGTTTTTATAAAAGTTACCTTTTCAGGAAAAAATTTTGGCCTTCTAGTCACTTGACTATAGCGGAGTTTTCACCTGAGTAAGTTGGAGGAGGACAGTGGCAGTGGTTTTGTTGGTGCCTGTTTTCTGGAGAGGCAGCCATGATTGTCCCCTTCTGAGGAGAGAGTCCCCGATTCCCCTCCCCGAAACAGCAAAGCTGCTGTCTGTAGGCTGAACCCTTCCCCTGGGGCCTCCCGTGCCACACTGTCATCACTCTCTTCTCAACTTTTTCCAGTGCAACCCTAAACTGGACTCAGTGAAACTCAGAGAGGACTCAGAGGAATAGCACTTAAAACTTTTTTGAAATTCATGTGTAATTGTTATGTAGGAAATGGAATTTCCTTCTTTTAACTGCCATTCTTCCCAGTCACAGTGCGTTGTCTTTGCTTAGAGCCCCAGTGTAAATTTAGGAAGGATGGAGGCTCTGCAAAGAGAAGGGTCTTGAGCTTAGGAGGTGCCCTGAGTTCACTGCCCTCCGGGTGGGGGAGTGAGGTGGCAGGTGGTTGTTCTGAGCTGCCCCCTCGCCGGCGCCCAGTCCTGTCCTGTTACAGGCTTGATGCCCGATAGATCCTGAGTGCCTCCCACCTGAGACCCACTACCCTGAGCGGGCAGCCCACCCTCGGCACCGGGGACGTGTGGAGCCATGTGCCCGCTGTGGGGCTGCCTTGGGTTCCCCGCATCCTTGGCCTTCCCCACCAGTGGGTGACAACCACAAGTGCCTTGGCGCCACCCAGTGTCTCCTGGAGGGCAGAGTGACCGCTGCTCTAGAAAGACCCTCCACAAAGCAGTTGTGTCTGCTCGCAAATCACACCTGCACACGTTGTGAGCAAAGTGGTCCCTTTAGAACAGAAGGGACATCAGCACTGCTCTGCGCTCTGAGAAGGTCCTGGGTCTCAGAGGGCTTTCATTTAGGTGGACTCTAGCTCTGTGGTATTTTCCATGTTAGAAGCTAAAATTGAAAATTTTAAATATTCGTTAAATCATCTAATAATAACACACCCATTATGTGTTCACATAAATAGATTGTTTTTGTGAGAAATAACTATTTACAAAAATTCACTGAGAAAAATGGCATAGGTCTATGTTTTTTCAAATCTCTTCAACATCTGGCCCAGCAGCAGAGTCCGTGCCCGCATTCAGTCCCTTTTTTTATATCACGTCTGGTAGCCTGTGAAAAATCATCATAATGATGGTTATAAAGGCAGTGTGTGTCTTAGTATAGCAATAAGTAAATAAATAATACATAATCAATCAATAAATAAAACAATAGACCCAGAAGGTGCCTGAGGGACCCCACTTTG